AGCAGCTCCAGTGTCAGTGAACTGTATTTTTCAGGTGTGTTTCTGCCCATGTATGACAAGTGTAAGTACTGTGTGTGTGTGTGTGTGTGTGTGTGTGTGTGTGTGTGTGTGTGTGTGTGTGTGTGTGACGGGCAGCTGCTGCCTCTCGGCGTCTCGCTGCTGCAGCCGAGCGAAGGAGACATTAACTAACTTCTGTTTTCTAATGGAGATTAATGAAGCCAGGGGAGCAACACTCCACACACACACACACACACACACACACACACACACACACACACACACACACACACACACACACACACACACTCAACCACACACACACACACACACACGCAACACACACACACACACACACACACACACACACACACACACACACACGCAACCACACACACACACACACACACGCAACCACACACACACATACACACACACACACACACACATACACACACACACACACAAACAGTAATACACAATCAAGCACACTCTTAAAAACTCACTTTTTCTCACCTGTGTCAGGGCTGTTTAGTTTAAAATTAAAGGGGAATAAAAAAAAGATCAAACAGGAAACAGAAAGGTAGAGAGGATGAAGAAAGGATAGGAAGTGAATAAACAAAACAAAATACATAATGATGTGCAAACTAACAATACAAACACACATAGATACACATATACAATATCACAGGAACACACACACACACCTACACACACTCAGAGTGTTGGCAAGTGCAGGCTGACAGATTGTCCTACAATAGAGAGGGATGTTGCTGGATGGTTTGATTGACAGGATGCTATTCATTCACTGAAATCACACACACACACACACACACACACACACACAGTCCAGATGATCTCACACACAGATAGAATTAGAGTCACACATTAAAGTTGATCATTAGATCTTGTTTGAGCCGTTGGATGAGGAATTTATTTTTGATGGAGCTACCTCACAACTCTCACCGTCTCAAAAGAAGAAGAAAGAAACGACCTGTGAAGCTCGTTATAATCAAAACTAATGAGTTAAAAAAAAAAAAAAAACATTCTTGGACAGTTTTGCCCAAATAAAAAAAATTATCTATAGAGGCCAAAACTGTCTTTTGTTCCAGGCTGTAAACATGTTTATTTCTGCTGTAGAAAATGTCATGTTGTTATGTGACCTCATGGGGATTTCCTTGTTTTTTTGCAACCAGCCTCAAGTAGAGGATCTGCATTTTTTTGTACTTCAGCATTGGCTTCTTTTTTAAACATCGAGGTTAACAACGGTTTTCCCCTGCTACCATCATTTTCCAGCTTAATGCTGAGCTAGGCTGACAGTCATGGCTCCATCCAGTCCTTGTGCTAAGCTAGGCTAAGGCTATTCAATATGCAAAGAGATGAATATGATTCTGAAAATGAGAACAAATATACTTTCAACCAAACACTTTTTTTTTTTTTTTAATGAGCAGCTGTAGTCATGCTCCTCCAGGGAAACTACAAACATGGCCAGTCTGATGCTTTTTAACAGGCTCTATCCAATAGCGGTGCAGTGATGCATTCACTGTAAGAACTGACTTTAACAGAGGTTATATGATAGATCAAAGTCACAACTTATAGACTTTTACGTGATGGCAGTGAACACATCATGTCCAGATGGGGGAGTTGTAAATTCAGCCCTAATTATTAGATCATATTCTCTATATGTTTTTTTTTTTAAGTGTTGCATTCACTTTCCATGTCTACTGTGGGAAAATCAAACATGTTGAATGTTAGATAATATTCGAGATCAGCTGAGACATTTTTTAAGAGGAAAAACGTAGCGGCTGTTAGTGAATGTTTGTCATTCAGTAAACATTTTAAGTGTTTCTTGAAAATTCGAGGCTCATATAGTAACATCAGTTTTATTTTGCTGCTTCTCCCGACTATTTGTGTTCCAGTTTGGTGGATGTGAAAAGTTTTGTGGAAAAAAATCTCTGAATGTTTTTTGTTTCCATCTTAGTGTGTTGGACAGCATCCTCCGAGGTCAGCGTCTGTCGTGGGAAATGAGAGCCGTGTGTGTGTGTTGTTGTGTGTGTGTTGGCAGCAGAAGCAGAGCGCTCTGATTGGCTGAGAGGGAAACAATGTGGTGGATGATGACTGTTTGTACTCTGAGTCACAGGAGATGTTCATTTTCTGTCTAAAATAGTAGAATCCAGAGTGGAAACCATGCAGCAGTTTTTAATCTTGCCCTGTCAGAGCAGATCACATCGTCTTCAGAGAAACTCCACAGAAATAAAAAATCACAGATTTGAGCAGCAGGTGATTAAGTCTGTCAGAGACTTTTACAGCTGCTGAATCTCTAATGATGAGTTCAAAGACTTCAGGGAGCAAATGGTTCAGTTACAACTTAAACAATCAGAAGAAGAAATCCTTTACAGTCTGATAAAGACAGACAAATAAAAAACATAATCTAAAATCTGTTTTAACACACATTAAGGTGTCTCAAATGTTACATGTTTGTTTGTGAGAATCAACTTACAGCAAGCCGTCACAACAGCTTTCATTTCTTCTCTTTTTTTTCTTTGTTCAGTAAGTTAAAGTTGCCTAAAGTTTAACATGTATGCTAAAACACTTAAACAATGCATCTGGTTCGTCCAATGTAACTGTGATGTCCATGCCAAATAAAGTCTATCTGTCTAAAGAGATCGTGTGTTTAAACTGAGAGACAGTAAAGGTCTGTATTTTACGGCATGCTAAAGGCTAATAAGGAAACAGATCAAAACAATAATGCAAACTTTTGAAAAAAACAAAAAAACAAAGAGACAAGTTGATTAGACTTTTAAGGATTTAGGCTCAAACATGCAGACTGAATGCTTTTATGCAAAGCTAAAACTGACACAAAAGTGAACGAAATTCATACAGACAATTTATAAATCCTTCATTAATTAAAAGAAATGCTTCAGATTAGCTGGCTTTACAAAAAAAGAGTGTCTTATGATTTTATTGATTTGATGTCTGTATTCTAATGATGACTATGGAAACTAAGTTAATTATTTTATTCTCTGTTTTTAACCTCAATGTAAAGCTCATTGAGCTAAATGTGCCCTATAAATAAATATGCTACTTCTATAATTACAAATGTTTATTAATGGTGACGTAACAAAGAAAAACGACAAGAAGACTAAAATACAACCTCTCTATCTCTCTCTCTGTTTCTCTCTCTCTCTCTCTCTCTCTCTCTCTCTCTCTCTCTGTGTGAGTGTCTCTCGCCTGTCCACTGTGCTGTAATACCTCAGGGAGCTCCAGCAGAGGCCTCCACCTTCCCACTGCTGCTCCTCGGGGACTCACACCTCCTCCCCCCTCCTCCCTCTCTCAGTCAGCTGATCCTCCTCAGATTTCTGTGTGTTTACACCTGAGGCTGAGCTGTGAAAAAACACACCTTTATTCACACTCCTGGGAGTGTGTTTACTTTCTATTTTCCTCTTTCTTTCTTTAGACACTTCTCCTTTGTCAATTTCTTTCATTTCCTTTTCCTTCACGTTCTGCCTTTCCTTTCCTTTCCTTTCCTTTCTTTTCCTTTTACGTGTTCTTATTTACCTTTCCTTTCTATTGCTTTATTTTGTTCCTCTCAATTTCTTTCTATTGTTAAAAATAATTATTTCCTGGCTTTCTTTAATTTTCAGTGTTTACTGAAGAATCTCAATTTCTTTCTTTTTGCACTTCTTTACTTTACAATTTTTGTCTCATCTTTCCTTATTTTGCCTTTTCCCTCCTGCTTCCTTCCTTCTTTCCTTCCTTCTCCCTCCCTTTCTTCCTTCCTTCTTTATATTTTAGGCTTTCTTTACTTTCCTTTCTTTGTCCTTTTATTCCTTCTTTTGTTTGTTTGATTCCTTCCCGTTTGCCCCTCTTCCTCTATTTTTCTCCTGTTTTTCCTTTTCTTGCCGGATGTCCTGACATCATGTTTCGCTTCTTCCCTTTTCAATCTACATTTAATTTCTTCCTCCTTTACCTCCCTTTCCTTTACCCTTGCTCCTTTTTTATTTGATCTTTTCTGCTTTGTCTGTCTTTGTTTGAATTCCTTCCTTCCTTCCTTCCTTCCTCCCTCCCCTTCTAGGTTTACTTCTTGCTCTCCTTGAATCTTTTATTTCAGTTCCCGTTTTTTCTTTCCTCACATTTCCTTCCTTTGCTCTTCCTCTTATTCTTCTTTTCCTTTATAAAAACATCTTCCTTCTCTTTTTCCTTCTTCTCCTCCTTCGTGTGTGTGTGTGTGTGTGTGTGTGTGTGTGTGTGTGTGTGTGTGTGTGTGTGTGTGTGTGTTTTCTCTATTTATCAGTCCTGTTATTGTTATTAACAGCCATCACCGTGGTGACCTGCTGAGCTGCAGACACTCAGATTGGACGCTTCCTCTCCTGTGGGCTGATGGGAAAACAGCCCTAGGGCGAGAGAAAGAGAGAGAGTGTGTGCGTGTGTGTGCCTGCATGTTGTGTGTGTGTGGTCCCGGTGTTAATGGCTTCCCACTGACTCGTCCTCTCTCTTTCTCCCCTCCGGCTACAAACATTCATCCCTCCGTCGCTCTCCATCAGCGGCCATTTTGGATCTAAAAGATCGTTTAATGTCAACTTTGAGCTCTGACTGATCACTAGCTTTAGACAGTCTTTCCACTGCTATGATTGGCTGGTTACTGTTTTTTCTTTTTTTGGGGGGTGCTCTGATTGGCTGCTCCTCCTCTCTGCAGGTGTAACAGGTTGATCTGTTACCTGTCCTGTTCTGTTTCTGGAGGAAAAGATCAAATATAAGTTGAAAGAATGAGCTGATAAGTTATTCTGTTGTCATAAGAAGGGATTTTTATTCCAGTTTATTAAGTATACTTTAAGCTGCTTAAATGAGAATATTTGCAGTTTAAATGGGAGAATTGAATCTAAATAAGCTTCAAACACTGAATATAACACAAACAGAAACACATCAGAATATAAAAAAGTTTTTTTAAGCAGATTTTTCTACATTAATAATGAATTATCTTTCTGTATCTTTCTGTGTCTCAGGAGGTTCTGTTGAAGCGAGCAGCCGACCTGGTTGAAGCTCTCTACGGGATGCCACACAACAACCAGGTGAGTCTGCAGCTTCACTCTGACCTTTGACCTCCTCTGTAATAACACTTAAAGTTACCACAACATGGTATGTTCACTGACTTATAATACACACAGGAAAAAACATCTATATTCCTCTATTTAGTGACCGGTCCTACGGTTCTGTGGTTTAGATGACGTTTATTATTTCACAGCTTAAGCTTTAAGCTCTCACGTTTAAATAAGAGACAAGGTTTTAGTTTTTTAAATGTGACATGTTCAGACTCTTTGAACATCTCTTAAAAGGATAAACAATTTGAAGGAAGGTGTTAAATTAGTTTTAATAAACGCTGTTACAGTTTTCAGAACATTATTTGTCCTTAATCACAAATATAACAGAGTGATGGTTTTTAAGACTCCAAACACATTTACTGTAGTTTATTTCACATAAAATAATCATATTTAGACATATAGTACTTAGTTTACCAGAGGGATATAAATAAATCTAATTAATTCTTACATAAATTATACCTATAATAAACTTTATTTACTAAGCACTCTCTAGAATGAAAGCTACAAAGTGCTTCACTATACAGTTATTTACAGTGCACGTGTGTGTGTGTGTGTGTGTGTGTGTGTGTGTGTGTGTGTGTGTGTGTGTGACCTAATGTATTTATAACCTAGTGTAAAATACAAATGCTCAATATTTGAGTGTAAAGACCCAAATAAGCATAAAATGAACATTGAAATAAATAAAGAAAACCATACAAAATAACAATAGTTTTAAAAAAAACAATTAAAAAAACATTGATTTGAAACAAGGAACAGTAAAATAAAAAACAGAAGTATAAAACTCAGATTAATCTGCATTGATTTAGTCATGATTGAAGCAGATTGTTCTCAAAAACAATAATAATAAGAACATTAACACAGTAATAAACTGTGCACCACATATAGAGTCAAACTTTCAGAGGTCAAAGGTGAGTCTGGTTTACAGAATATCTGCAACAAACCCAGATTCAAAAACAAAAACTGTCAAGCAGCATCTCTCCTAATGACCTTCCTTCTCTCTTCTCCCGCCTCCTCCGGTCTGCAGGAGATCATCCTGAAGCGGGCAGCCGACCTCACCGAGGCGCTCTACAGCGTCCCTCGCAGCCACAACCAGCTGCCCTCTCTCACCGGCTCAGCCGCTCACTCGGGGATGATGGGAGTGAACTCGTTTAGCAGTCAGCTCGCCGTCAACATCTCTGAGGCCTCGCAGGCCGACCAGGGTGAGGGCCCACTTTACCTACAAATCCTCTGGGGCTGGAGGGGGTTCACAGTGGTCCAGTTGAATTTGAGTAGATTGCTTGGGTTTAAAAGGCGTCAGTTGAGGTCATTAGAGTTCAGTAGATGTCTTTGTAATCCATTACAGTCCAGTAAAGTCCAGTTTACCTGCCTCAGAACTACATACATCTTTAGAATCCACTACACATCCGATCTGCTCCGGCCTCACAGATATCAAATATTTTATGATCCGATCTCCTGTTGTGTGTTGGGCTGGGGGGAAACCCTGAGGACAGCCGATCACGCACTCTGTGGATTGTCACATGAATAAACGATAGAAACTCAAGAAGCAAGCTGACTGACGTGCATTGAACTGAATTGTAGTCCAGTAGGGTTCAGTAAAGTTGAGTTGAGCAGATTGCATTGACTCTAACAGGCCTCAGTCCGTGCAGCGGTCAAGTGGTGATCAGTGTTTCAAAGTGCTGTCTTCATCTGAGAGGAGCAGAAACACAACAACCAACCTGTCTGTGCAGTTTGAAAAGTGTCGACGTCAGCTTCACAAAATTAAAGATGTTTGTCATACAGAGCACACACACACACACACACACACTCACTCGTTTTCTTACAACAGCAGTATTGTTTCCTGCAGGATGGTTGTTTCATCCCCCTGACTCTTCATTTCTCTCTCTTCTTTCTTTCTTTCTTTCTTCTTTGTTTGCGTGTCGTTTGTTGCTCTGTCTCCGATGACTCTCAGCTTTTCTTCTTTCGTTACAACATTCCTCTGTGATAAGAATCCTTCTCAAAAACATAATTATCCACCCAAATCTCTCATTTTGTTTCTCTTTCTTGCATATGTCCTTACTTTGTTCTGACGTGATATCTCCAGCTGAGGGTAATTTCATGATCTGAAGCTGCTTTTTTGGATAATTGGATTTCTTGATCTTTTACTGACTGTCACTATAAAGCTTTATATTCTTGCATTTCTTCAGTCAATCTGTAGTTCTTATCAAGCTTACAGGAGGAGATAGTGATTTTTCTTAAGCAGTGAAAGAATTAATAACATCCACAGATAAATAAACGCACACATTCATGTATTTAATGTGATATTTGTTTTTCAGAGCTTAAACTAACATCTTAAAAACAATCTACATATAGGTCAGACACAAAAATCATCGCAGCAACATACAGGAAAACTGACAACCACAAAAACAAATTCTAATAGACATAAAGTTACAAGGGATGTAAACGTAAAATAGACCAGAGACGACATATTTGTGAACTGTATTTCATAATAATTAAAAAAAGTAAATCTTTTTTTTCTATATTTTTAAGAGGAAAAGAGTCACACACTGAGTTCAAATGTGTTTGAGTTGAACATGGAGGGAATAACCATCAGGCTCCGTGTTTTCTCTCAGAGGTATTTTCTGTTTCTGTCTGTGACGCTCAGGAAAACGTGCAGCAAACCGCTCGCGAACACGCGTCGACAGGAAGCAGAAAGAGCTGCTTTTTCTCCCCGGACACCCCTCACCTCCCCCCTCCTTCCCCCTTCCCCTTCCTCCCCCTCCCCCTCCACTAAACCACGGTCTGCTTTTCCCATCGGCCCAGCGGCGAACACCTTTCAGGAATCTATGAGGTCATGGGAAACGAGTCGCTGAAAATTCATAACGCGGTAGTTTATGTGCGCAGAGCTCTCCCGGTCGGAAACATTACACCGAGGATGTGACCGCCAGGCCTCCCCGCCGCCGTGTAGTATGAAGATTGTTTTTGTGCCCCTCGCAATTACCCGCCGTGATTAAAACATTAATAAAAACAGCGGCTCCCGAGCCCAGGCCTTATCAGCCGGACGAGGAGAGTAATTTACGGCGCTAATTCAGAGCAGCTCATCCTGCTCAGTGTCACATCGTCTCCTGAAGGTTTCTCGGCTCTTTCTTTCTCTGGAGTTTGTCTCGGAGAGTCTCTGTGACAGCTGCAGGTGGAGGTGGAGGAGACACAGAGAGAGAGAGGGAGAGAGTTTACAGGCCTTCAAGACGAGTATGACAACCTCAAAAAACAAATACGAGAATCCAAATACACCAGCAAACAGATGTGGTTGCTGCTGTCGCCTCAAAATTGATGCAATCAAACAATAAATAACCAAAAAATCTGAGTTCTTTAAAGAGAAATCAGCTGTTACATTACTCTCTAAAAACACACCAGAATCTACATTGATAGAAACAGGGATTTGACCTCACAGAACACAGGAGCTGCTCGTCTACAGCTGCCTCTTCTGGCCAGTTTGTTTGTGTTACTTTGTTGTTCTGGTGTTCTGGATTATTTCACATCAAACACATTTTAATCAGAGGTAGAGCAGCAACCCTTGACTCTGTCTGGTTAAAACGTTGAGTGAAATGAACGTTTACATACATTTGGTTGACATTTGCTCCAATGGATTACTTTGTAGCCTTTACAGCCTGATCCACTGCTGCAGGCTGAACAGATCTACTGCAGCAAAACCTTAAAATATGTACAACATTGGCCCAGGTTTTGAAAATAAAACAACACAAAAAAAGCGGCTGAGTTGAAGATATATCCCAGAAAACTAGCCAATACTTCGAGAATGAATCAATTGGAAAGTTTAAAAAAACATAAAATGAACACAAAATGTGACAGCTGCAAACAGATTCCAAACGTACAAACCAGTTTGACCATCAGAGGGACAAACGCACTGATGTCATGCCGTGTTTGGCCACATTTTATCCTCAAAAACATCAATTATACTGTAGAGGACGCCTACGACATGGACGTCACCGAAAACAAAAAATAATTGGTCACTTTTCTTTGATGTGTAACTAGTTGAGCTTGTAATTATGGCCTCAATGATGACACAAATCATCATTTAAGTCAAGTTTGTTTTATTTTTAAAGCCCCAAATCATGTTAGGCACAAAATCAACTACAAGGTCTCTATGATCCTTTAATTACGATCAGGAAAAACATCACACAGGCTTTAAAAACACACTTTTTTCTAGTGAGAGTGGTTTATGGTTGTCCTGTCACAGTAGAGATTTAGACAGCGTCCAAAACAAATGATCTAAATTTGAGATAGAAGTTTGGGATCATCATAAAAGCACAAGTCTTATTTTTCTGCAGGTCTTTATTCCGGTTCAGCAGCTTTGGTGTTCGTTTTGGACTGTGATGTGTTCGGTTCCTGCAGTAAAGTCCAGTATGAGGAACCAGCTTGTGGTTCTGACACTTTGCAGTTTAAACACTGCTGATCCACCTGCAGGGATCGTTCACAGTGTGACGTTTACTCAGTGAAATAAACTGTCAGTCATCGTGTTAATCAGCAGCTCAAACTACAGCTGAACTCCGAGCCACACATGTTTCAGTTTGAGTCTCTGTGAGGTCGAAGGATGTGATCTGCATCCGATCTGCTTCCCACGCCGCTGAGGACGCACACACACACACACACACACACACACACACACACACACGCGCACCAAAACAAACACACAGAACACAGCAAGCGTTTGTGGAACATTTTATTTCTTATTATTGAAGAACAATGGTGACATTTAGCTGTTTTCTGTGACGTGCTGCAGCTCCGCCGCTCCCTGCTCTCTCTCTCCTCCACATGTGTTTCCCATCGCCTCCTCCCCTCCTCCCGCTCCTCCCGCTCCTCGCCTCCTCCCCGGGCAGCGCTCCATCACACGCTCCTGCTGGGAATTGCGTTGGCCCGAACCAGGAAGTGGGGGAAAGTGGACAAGGGTGGAGGGTTGATGGAGGGAGGAGGTAATGTGCTACTTGGCACACTGTTGACTTACACTGAGCATGCTCGGGCTGAGCTTGGTGGGAACCTTTGGAGCCTCCTGAGGGGGTCAAAGGTCAGGCTGAGCGCTGCAGGGAACATCGGTGTTCAATGCATCCTCGATGAGGGTCAATCAACGTGAGCGGAGGGGAGATAGAAGGGGGGAGGAGGGGGGTGTTAAGGTAAGAGAGGTGAGAGATGAATGGCAGGACTTCGCCCGAGGGGAGCGGTCTTTAACAGGCGTGATGATGTCATCGCTTAGGTCACAATGAGGCGCAAACCAGCACATGCCTGAGCCTATTAGAATCTTTAGAAATTAAAACATGTTTTAGGGGCTGGAGGGGCTCAAATACTCATGGAAATGTTTACACAACTCACCAAAAAGGCTCCACTGGAGGTCCGATTGATCACTTCTGATGCGTTTCAGGTAGTCGGGAAATCTAAACTCTGATTGGCTTTCACAACACAGCGTCAAGCAGATTTGTATCTCAAGTGTAAATATTTGATCTATAATGGATTCTGAGCTGAATTGTATCCAGATATCTTGTTATAGAGATCAGTAAGTCATTGTTAGATTACCGCTGGTTGGTCAGTAGAGCGGATAATGCTCCGCCTTGTTTTTGCCGTCCACACGGGCTGTTTCTCCTCCATACACCAAATGCTGCTGATGTGTTATTGGTCAACACAACTCGTACTACAGATGTCAAACAATCAGAAACTAGAACATTTCACGTGTTGCAAATCCAGACCCCCCTGAGTACAGAGTCTACATTTCTATGTAGAAGAACTGACCCCTGTGTGTTGTTTCTCCTCACAGGTTACTCCCGTAACTCGAACAGCGTGTCTCCTCGTGGCTACGTGCCGAGCTCCACGCCTCAGCAGTCCAACTACAACACCATCACGTCCACCATGAACGGATACGGAGCCGGGATGACCAACCTGGGCGTCCCCGGGTCCCCCAGCTTCCTCAACGGATCCGCCAACTCGGCTTACGCAAGTGAGTCTTTTTTTTTTTTTTTTAAATTGACATTTCTAAAAGTGAAACCCATCCATCTGAGGGGCAGCGAGCGAGCAGGAGGGACGAGTCTGACTGACTGAGAGTGAATGAACTTTCAAAGATTTCTGTACATCTTCAAAACACAGTGAGATGTGAGACCGATTATCAGCTAAGAGCTCAGATCTAAAGTGTACACAATCCTTCAACACATGGAACATGTCAACTTCTCTCAGCATTTTTCAAAAGTTTGAATGTTTCATAATGGTTCTCATTTGTTTGTGAAGACTTTGAAATAGAAGCAATCGTGTAAGTTTCTATTAACACGCTGAAAGGGTTTTAAAATCTCTGTTTAAGTGTCAGCATTGAAAGGAATAAAGGTGTTAATTAAAGCAGACGCATTAAAGTGTCAGAGCGTTAGTGATCAGTAGACGGGTCAGAGGAGATCTTCTTCAGTTGTGGTGTATGTTTGTGTTGAAAGGTCTTGAAGGGTCAGTGAAGATCTGAAAGGGTTTGAGGTGTTGTTCTTTCAGTGACAGATGAAATATGAATGATGAATCTTTTGAAGGTTAATCTGCACATTTATGAAATTTCAGTTGATTTTTAAGCACTTAAAAGAGTTCAAGTCTAAGTTGAAACAGTGAGATTTGTGTTATTAGGTGATTTTTTTAAATATCTTCATTGAACTTGCAGTGATACGTCGACGTGTCAATTGAAGGTTAAAATCACATTTAACTCGTACTAATGTATGAACTGAAAGGAGCCGATTGTCATTGAAGGATAGGAAGGATTTGAGATTTTATCAACTGAAGTTTCAGGTGTGGGTTACATTTTTCTACACCTTAGTTGAAGTATAAGAGCGTAGGAGGTGTCACATAACGAACAGTGCATTTATAAGACATTGAGCAACATCTTCCCCCTCAATTAGTTTCAATGTTTAAGAAAAATGTCAAACCTGCTAAAAGCTTTTAAAGCAACACAAAGTTTGTTTCAAGTAGCTGGTCTTTAGTACCAAGAAATGTTGAGCTTAAAAGGTAGGATGAATTATTTACTCCAGATGTGTGCAGATGTAAAATCGATGCAGATGAAATGGAATCAGCATAAGTTTAGTTTCTTTCTGTGTCAAAAACTGAATCTTAGAGTACTTAACTATAAAAATATTAATTTGAGATATTGTTTGGGATAAGGCAATAATCCTACTGGTCACATCTGTTGTAGATCCTTTAAATGATAAATAGTGTTTCCTCTTAAATCATGATCTTGGTGTTTTATTGTAGATATCTCTATTAAACTGAAGCTCATTTAAACGACTAGTTGTATTTCTACCTGATGTCGAGCAGGTTGTAGGTACCTGCTCAGGTTGTTGCTCTAAAGCAAGCGGTGAGCGTCTCCGTGTAATGAAAGAGAATAAAGGGAGTCTGGTGCAGGAGGAGGCGAGTCCATGCTTCAGTAGTTTCCGGTCTTTGGTCCTGTTGTTGCTCTGAAACTTTGATTAACTCGCCTCGAGTCGGAGCGGCTGCTCGGAAGGAGCAGGTGTGCTTTTGGAGAACGGTGGAGTAGAAAGTCGCCCGCAGGGAGCGCTCCATTGTTTTGGCTCTTGTTTCAAAGACTCGAGCGAGTCGCAGCGAGACTTGTTTAGGAGGAATCGAGCTCAAACTGCGTCTCCCTGCCAGGTGATGTTGTCGTCCCTGGCGACCAAACAAAAGGTGGGCTCACAACTCGCCTGGCTGAGCTACAGTTTCCTTCCAACGAGGCTACTACTGTGTGTGTTTGTGTGTGTGTGTGTGTGTGTGTGTGTGTGTGTGTGTGTGTGTGTTAGGTACGTGTGTGTGCGGACAGAACACTGCCACGCATTGTTCACCTCCTCCCTCCTCCTCAGACTGTCCCCCTGCCCATCCTCCCCCTCCTCACCCCTCCTCCTCCTCCTCCTCCTCCTCCTCCTCCTCCTGCTGTACTAACTCACTAACATCCTCACTGCATCCTTCACTCATCCATGCTTTGGGCCCGATCCATTGATATCAGCTAGAAAAGAGAGAAAAAACAAACAGGAAGGAGCCAAAAAGCAGCGATCCAGGACAGACGGAGAGATGTTGGCATGAAGCGATAAATCACATTTACATTCCTCCGTTTCATTTTACATCTTCAGCTCCGTCCTTGAATCATTCACAGACTCACCGTGCTCTGTACACACTCTGCTCGTAAAGGGACAGTCCAACATTTTCTGAAACCTTCCTCTCTTTCTCATCCAAACGTTTAGGTGGACGTCAGTCTAATGTCTGTGTATTTAAGAGCAGAGCTGAAACCAGGTTTATTCACTTAGCTTAGCATTAACACTGGAGGCTAGGGGGAATAGCTAGCTCAGCTCTTTCTAAAGTACTGTAAAAAAAAAAACAGACCCCCACTCCTAAAGCTCACTGATAACATGTTTGATTTCATGTTCATTAGTGACACAATGAAAAGAATCTCCTAGAAAAAGAAACAGAGTTTATTCTTATGATAGAGATATTGAAATCATATGACGTGTCAGGAGTTTTGGTTTAAGTGTCACAAATATAATTATCTGTTTTCCAAAGTCAGCAAATTGACTCTGGTTAGAAGTTCTTCTGGAGGTGATGATCATGTCACACAAACTTCAGTTTAGAGTTTTTTTTTTCAGAGCTGTGATTAGAGTTTAAATACAAGACAAAATAAAATACAGAAAGATTTTAAAAAAGTAGAAAAAAAACATAATTTCACTAACAGCTAAGCAAACTCTGGAGGAAAACCCCAAACACCAAATGCTCCATTGAAACAGCTGCGAAACGGATCCAGAAAATATAATTTAATTGAAATGTAAAAATGTTGATACTCTACTTAATAACCTGCCACATAAATTGATTTAATAATCAGGGTTTCTTCTAATGAACATGCATGGTGTTCTATTATGATCTAAAGCTTTTCATTATAAGGACTTAAGAGACTTTCCGATAGTGTTGATTTGACATTTAAAGAGCCAGGCTAGCTGTTTCCCTCTGCTTTCAGTGTTTATGCTAAGCTAGGCTAACAACACCAACCCTTTCTTCATGTCTGTACCTACTAGGGTTGTCACAATACCAGATGTTTCACTTTTATCCAATTCTAGTAAAAATCAAAAAGATCTCGATACCTGTTTGATACCACGGCAACCAAAATAGAAGTCCAAGGTATCCAATATTCAGTCACTTCTTGTTTTTTATTATCAATATACCAAAATACAGTAGCAACATTTCAAAACAGAAATATTGCCATCACATTTTTTCAATTTAGAGACAGCTCTCTCTCTCTTTTGATTAGGTTTATGACTGAATTTGAGTTTTTTTTTAAAGCTTTAGTCCTGTTGGAAGTCATTTATCATTCAAAATACTGAGATTGTATCATTTTAAAACACGTTGTATTCAAAAGTAATGAACATTTTGATTTCCCTACACACACATACATGCACACACACACACACACACACACAAACAAGCATTTCTGTAAATGTTGTACTGTTCCTTAAATCAGAAGTTCAGCCTCAGACAACACGTGAGGAGCTCAGGTGATGAGACACCTGTCCTCACACACACACACACACACACACACACACACACACACACACAACTGCACAGTGTGCGTGTGGATGAAGCTGCTGCTGCTGCGCTCAGGTCGGATCAGGTTGGTTTATTTCAAAATAAAAGTCCTTCAAGTTATGGATCAACTTTGCCAGGTGTGTGTGTGCTCTGAGCATGAGCTCGACCTGGTGTGAGGCAGGACCTCCTCCTCCTCCTCCTCTTCATCCTCCTGCATGATCCACCTCATCTCCATCCGATCACTCACCTCCTCTGTCCGTCTGCCTGCTCGCTCCCTCCCCCTGTAGGACTCCCCCTCCTCCTCCTCCTCCTCCTCCTCCTCCTCCTCCTCCTTCCCCTCCTCTGCTCCGTATTCATTCTCTCCTGTCCATATGGTTTCTGCAGTCAAACAGAAGAGCGCCTTCGCCCCCGTCGTGCGGCCACAGACCTCCCCGCCCCCCACCTGCACCACCAATGGCAGCAGCCTCCAGGGTGAGCATCCCACTCCCCCCTCCCGCCTGTCAGCACCCCCCGCCCTCTGCTGTCCACCTGTCCACCTGTCCCAACTGGACACGAAGACAGACAGATGTCCAGCTGTAAAGATGATGTTAGAAACATGGAGGAGGACAAAGTTGATCCATAACTTCTGGCACACATTGTCAAACACATATTCATTATTTTAAAGTGTTTGTTTTTAAGTCTGAGCTGAGAAGATAATCTAATAATTCAACAAGTTTTCAGAACAAATCAAAGTTCAGTCTGTTGGAATATTTCAGTAGTTTATTGTCTCAATTTGGAGAAAAGAAAAATCACCCAAATTGTTGGTAAAATTAACATATTTCATTAAAGAGTCCAAAAAAAAACCAGATACTGAATGAAATTGGTCAAAGCGGACATTCATCAGATTTTATTACTTTGTTGGGTAAACGTGGTCGATGTTGTGAGTTTGTGTCGGTCTTCCTCAAACAGCCGATCTGATTGTGTTCGTTTTTGTCTCTGGTGTCTTCACAGCGATGGCCGGTCTCATCGTGCCCCCCATGTGAGGAGGACTCTTTCTGTCAGACCCCTCCACCTTTGATGGCCCCGCCCACTTGAAACGCCACAAACAAACAAACAACAAAAGCAACAAACAATCCTTCCCATCATTCCCAGGGCCCAAACTTACCCAGAATCCCTCTGTGCAGCAGGATAAAACGTCCGTCATCATCTGTGCGTTCGCTGTGGGACTGAATCTCTGAAGCTGCCGCAGACGCTCAACAACAAACAGGAAGTGTGTTCTGGGACGTCTGCAGCTGCTCCACGAGGAGGCGATGCTCCATCAGAGGAGGGGGGGGGGGGGGGGGGGACGTCTGCAGTAATAATGTGTGAATATGAAACAGTTTGACTTCAGAAGTCTGTGAGACTGAACACGTCTTAGATCAGTTTGAACCACTGTGAGACAGAGAGGAGGCGTGGCCAACGAGAGTTTCTGATCACTGAGGAAAGCTAAGATCTCATTGGATTGAAGCCGCCGACCAGGTTAGAATTAAAGAGCCACCTTTTTGCATTTAGTAAAAAAACACAGATCAGAAAAAGTAAAATCTCCATAAACTTGACTTAGTTAACAAGACTCTTCATGTGTTGTGTACTTTGCAGAGCAGACTTTGAATCTGAGTTCTGCATGGGATTAAACCTGAGAACAGGACCTGGACTGTAGTCATGTTTACAGACCCAACCATCATGAATCAGACTGCTAAAGCCAAATCTTTGACCAGAACCAGAAGAAAAACCTTCATATGTTCTAAATTTTTAATCCAAAGAAACAAAAATGTCATAATACCTAATGGCTTAACATCTGAAGATAACAGAACATACAGGTGCAGCAACATAACAACCTGAACTCTTCTGAAATCTGGTGCATTTTTGGATCTATTGACATCTGAACTGATCCGTGAAACACAGAAAATAAATTCTTGAATTAATACAACTGATCACCAAAGATACAAAAATTCAAAAGTCTCCTTATTGATGTTCATTTCAAACAAAACTTTGCTGGATCAGAAGCTCTTGCTGGTCACTGACCCGAGTGAGTTGGACCGAGTCCTGAAAGGAGGAAAAGTAAAAACTCTTTAAACCTTTTTTTCAAATCTGGACGAACCGTCAGACGGTTTCTGGATTTGGTTTTTAATAAGAAATTCCCCTTTTTTTTCCCCCACAAACCCCAAGAGAACCAGACTTCCTGACGAAAACAACGTCTTCTAGCATTTCTTTTCTGTACCATAGCTTTTAACAATGTTTGTGTCTCATATTCTAAAAGGAGGAAAATTAATAATTTTCTAGGAACAAACGACGTGCCCAGGAGAAAAGAACAAATGTTACAGTAACATTTGTCTGAATGAAGTCCAGGCAGCCCGAGGTTTTATTTCCTTTCATTTCTGTTTTCTTTTCAACTCCAGTTCAATAGTTCTGTTTTCAGGTGTGTCGAGTGGTAGATTTTAACCCGAAGAAGCTTGCCGCAGTTTTAATCACATTTAGGTACCGACCTTCTCGTTCTTCTTCTGATTGTGCTTATTTTATATGTATTTATAAAGTATGTTTCGGGGAGTTTCTTTTCGTGATTTAGGCCTGGATGATAGTCTCAAATATATATGTAAACACATTTGATGTCTTAATACCTTTTAGATATTGTAAAAAGAGTGAACAAGTGAGAGGATTAAACCTTTTTGTAAAAACAAAAAAGACGTCACGACATGGTCACCCTGTTTTTGAAAGCAGGACGTAAAAAAACGCTTTCATCACTTTTGTATAAAATGCTTTTTTCCGATACGATATTTAACTTTTTGTAAACAGCATCATTTGTGTTTCCCCTGGTTCTTCTCGTCCTTCGTGTATTATTGTGAAATGTATAATCATGCTTATTTCTTAATGCACTATTTTTTCTGTTGGGGCACTTATTACGAGCAATGCATCTTAGCAGAAAAGACAAAAAAGCTCAAACAAAAAACAAGAAAAAAAAAGAGATGAAAATTAGAACGATATGCACCGATATGTTTTTATTTTTCTGTCGTTCTGAAACGGCAGAAATCCTTGTCATGTGAAATTTTTTATATTTCAGAAGCTTATAACGTCATAATATTCCTCCACTCTTACTTTTGCACCAATTTTGGTGTTTAAAGACGATATTTTATCCATCTTAATATTAGACGCGATCCGTGTCTTTGTGTTTGTTGGTGAGAATGATTGTGCGATTTTAAAACAGGAAGCAGATTTTTCAAAACCACCCTGAACACCAGTTTTTGGGTCATTGATCTCAAGGAAACTTCCATTAATGTGTTGTTGTTGATGGTGCTGTACCCACCGTTGCACACAATCTGGATCGTTTACTTATGCAACTGTGTTCCTGCTCTGAAATGCAAGCTTGCTGTCCACGTTGCCGTGGAAACGTTTGGAAAATTAAAGAACAAAAAGTTGCGTTTGATGCCTTATGATCGACCACACTTTATGATTTCTCTTTTATCTGACAAAGTTTAAGTTCTGCAGAAACAACAGTAGATTGTTTGAAGTTTGTTTGAACTATTTGACGAGTTCTTCTCCGGTCAATCTGTGAGAAGTTTTTATGTTTTGCACCAAACTGTTTCCCCTCAGGTTCCCAACAAAAAGCAGAAAGTTTGCATTATTAGCACGGATTTTAAGATGAAGACGCTCCATTGGGCAGATTTGTTTTTGATCATTGCATAAAATCGTAACTCGTAATTACGAGATAATTATCAAGTCCGATTATTATTTTATTTATGAATGCAACACTTAAGAGAAAATGTAAAAAATCTAACTGTCACAATCACAAAAAATGTCAACAAAATGTAAAAAAAATCTGAATTTCTTTTGTTCTGTATCATTTAAAAACAGATTTTAAAATCACGAACACGTTTAGTTATTGTGATAATTATGAAAAAAAACCTACTTTTTGTTTAATGAGTACAAAGAGTAGAACCAGCTTTTTACAAACTGTAAAGTTTGTTCTTTAAGATACCAAAACAATCCAACATCCTGTCACTCCTAAAAGGAAAAAAACCCTCCAAATCTCTTAATTTGATATGAAATAAAAACCAGAAGCGTGGGCAGGAACCTGAAGTTTAAACGGATTAAACACTTTATGCAAATCGAGCAGCACTGACAGAAACCTGCAGTCACTGCTCAGCTTCACGCGGACGCCGTCATGTCGGCGTGAGCGTCTGTCCAGTGTCAGCAGGACAAGCCATTCATTCATCGACAACAATGAAACGCAGCCTGCAGAGCGATCAGCCACACAACATGATCTGTGTTCCGTCTCTTCTAACAGCTCGCTAACATTTTTTTAATTTTTTTTCGGTCACAGTTGTAGAAAGTTTGCTTCTCACCGTCCTGATTTTCAGCTGAGGTTTTAAAAACTGCAAAGTATACTTTCTTCGATGTTTTACTTCAATGTGAAAGAGGGCAGAGGTACTGCATCTTTGTGAAATATGAAATATATCATCAAAGTATATCAAAGCACAATGTTTAATTAATGTCTTTAGAATACAACCCGGGGGAGGAAACAACCCCCGGCTTTTCTTTCTCTGTCTCTGGCCATGCTGTAAATAGATGCATGTTTTTTGTTTATTTTTGTTCCGTTTTTTCCTGTGATCCAGTGCTTTTTGTACAGAAACAGTCTAATAAAGATTACATTTGGCTTGAAATCTGAGATGTCTTTTGTCTAGTAGCATTAAGGAATTCAAGGAAATTAAATTGTTTGCATATCTCTTTAGGGGAACTAAAAAGATACTCCTTACGACTTTTGATGTGTAGAAAGTAGTTTCAAGCATTATGAAAGTTGAATTTAAGATCCATAGGAAGTTACAGTTTAAAAGTCAGCGCTAAAAGCAGTTGTAGGCGTACTGTCAGTATCATAAACAAGTGACAGAACACCTGACTAAAATGGTTCACCAACTTCTCATTGGCTAGAACTCTAATTGTTTGTGTCATAATGAAGCTAAAAGTGCAAAGTAAGATTGCACAAGTAAGCAGCATGAATCAAATCAGTGTCTTAAACAGTCAAGCTAGATAATCAACATATCAACTCAGATAGTGTTTGTTAGTGATAATGTTAGCAGCTAACATAACTAGCAAACTGATATTTTGACTAAAAATTAGCCAGACACGTACAGTAGTCTTCATAATAGTGAACAAAGCCTGAGTGATGTCACCCATCTGTTACTGCAGGGGGCCCGCTGATGGCGGTCGCCGTGCTGGAAACGCTGTCTCAAGCTAACAACAGCCAATGAGTTGGAGCTGGAGCAGGTCTTAAGCCTCCTGACAAACAACTGCACCATGCCTGCCCTTCAGTCAGGTCGGCTGTTTTTGGTTACAGCTTGGCTAGAAATGAAGCTTAGAAAGCTAGCTAGTTCCAACTTCGCCACACATCATTCATCTGATGTTTTGATATTAGTTAATAGAGTATGTTAAAGAATAACTGGCCAAATAACAGGCCAGTAAAACTTGACATGCTTTGCATTGGACTTTGATGTGGTGGATGAATTCTGGCAGTTTACTAACACGCAGATGCCAACACTATGTTTAAGCTAATGTTAGCAATGTTAGCGCTGGAATTTAACTGAAGAGAGGCACGGTAGGAGCGCACATAAACATAAAATCACTGGAACAAGATGGACTCCAGAAGATTTTAGATAATTTAGTTTTAATGTTTCATTCGGTTAATCTCTTTCAGGAAATTATCTGATTTCTTGAGAGTTCAAGATCAATAACTGGTGGTTTGACGTTGTCACTTGTTTTTATTCCAGAGCCTTCAATAAAGAGCGGCTCTGAGAAGTAAAAACAACTGGTTGTTCAGCAGACTCCTCAGTCCAGATCCTGTTTTTGTCTGAGAGATGAAGAAGAAACTTTCCTTCATGGCGAGATAAGAGCTTTGAAGGTCTGGAGGTCGGCGGTGGTCTTTATCAGACCTGCAGGCCTGAACAGGAAGCCTGGACTTCATCAAGGAGGACCAGAACAGTCCAGTATCAGAGTCTGCAGCAGAGACAGGGGGTCTGAGGTGAGACGGGAGGGGGGTTGGCAGAGTGTTGGCCTGCTGAGGCTTCGTTACAGGCACAATTAACTTTAACTCCAACGTCAGCACCAACCTTGATGAGCAGTGAAATCAGTTTGTTAAAAACACAGCACTCGTTAGAGGAGAGCTAATGCCCAAGGCTGCAGAGAACCTCGAGTCGCCTCCCCAAGTCTGCAAGACCCCTGCCAAACTCCTGCTGCTGCTGCCAGACAGAGCTGAACCAAAACCAAGTCATATTCCCCCAAAGAAGAAGAGCT